GACACTCATTAGATCTCATCATCAGTTCACAGCTGTCTCACATTAGAAGGACTTTAAAAGATGCACACACACTTGAACACTTCGCTGGTGATTGTTTAGCCTGTAATGATTCCTAGTTTCTGTTATCCTGCCCATGTTTCCTTGTTTTGCCTTGCCTTGGTGTATTTTGGATCTTGGACTGTTTATCTAGTTTTTATGATTGTTTTGCTGCCTGCCCTGACCATTGCCTGTGTACGAATAAAGCCTGCATTTGGATCCTCAACTCCGTTGTCACTACGCCTCCTTTGTTACAGAATCACCAGCCATACCTGGATCCAGCGGCTTTTAGAGCATTCCAGGCCAATCATGGACACAGTGGACCAGCTACTGCACCTTCGGCAAAGAGATTTGTCTATTGAGGATTACGTTCATCAATTTTGTGAGTTGTCCTATCAAGTGCCTTTTGATGAGATCATATTAAAGGACCTTTTCCGTTATGGACTTAATGAACCAACAAAATCATGGTTACCTGAAGGGAAATTTAACTGTAGTTTAAGGGACATTATGGACTATGCTCTCTTGTTATGTGGTTCTCCTTTCACTGTGGGAGAGGCAGAGGACTTTAAAGCCCCAGAGACTTTTCATAAAATGGCCACCAGCCCAGAGACTGTTAACACGATGACTGCCAGCCCAAAGTCTCTCCACAAAATGGCCGCCAGCCTGGAGGCTGTTCACAAAATGGCCACCGCTCCTGAGTGTCGTCCCGTCATGGCTGCCATTCCAGAGACTGCTCACGTAACTCAGGCATAAAATGTCCGATCTTCCCCAAACTTCACATGTTCAATAAAAGTCCTGGCCTGAACACATCTGAAGGCCAATATTCCATTATAATCATAGCGCCACCTGCTGGCAACAGGAAATAGCTTGTTTTACACTAACTTAAAGTGCAATGTCCGATCTGCACCAAACTTCACATATTTGGTAAGAGTCCTTGCCTGAAGACATCTAAAGGCCAATATTCAGATGTAACATAGCGCCATCTGTTGACAACAGGATATGTCATGCTTTACACTAACTCAAACATACCATGTTCAATTTTCACCAAACTTCATATGTTTGATAAAAGTACTGGCCTAAAGACATCTACATGCCAATGTTTAGTTATAGACATAGCGCCACCAGCTGGCAGCAGGAAGTTTGGCACATATAAATGACTTTGACATATTCCTCCTATATTTACCACTTATTGCATATTGCCCACTTTTTATTTTCTTTTATGTAAAGCACTTTGAATTACCATTGTGTATGAAATGTGCTATATAAATAAATTGCCTTGCCTTGCCTTACTATGTCTTTCAACATATCCTCTAATGTTCATTCATGTTTATTTCACACTATAACTTGTATTCAAGTGGAAGAAACTCTTGCTCTGCGGTGCTGCTTGAAGGCTACAGCGATCGGTCTTGTCACATTTAAAAGCATCAAAACGGCATTCATTGCTTGAATTTTGTGATGGAATGGATAGAATTTGAAAGATGAGATCTGGCATCCCTGAATTGAATTTTGTGTTAATTTTGACAGCCCTAAATTCAACACGAGAGATTTTCTTCACACACAGTATGAGTTGCAGTCTGACACGTTTTTCCGCTGCCTTTTGACTGACAGGATATAATCCATGGCCGATGGTGAAAAAAATTGCTTTTAAATTGTCATTTTAAAAATAATTTATAATTTATTTTTATCTAAAATTTAGTTTTATTTCAGCTTTATTTCAGTTAACAATTTTTTATTTTTTTTTTGATAGTGTTAGTTAGTAATGACCACTCTGGATTCAAAAATGTGTGTGTGTGCGTTTAAATATTTTCAATCAGTTTTAATTGTTTTTTTTATTTGCAGTTTTAATAAAAGAAAATTCATTTATTGATTTTAGTACTTAAACTTATTTCATTTTTAGTTAATTTATTTATTTAATCTAATATTTGTTTTATTTTATTGCCATAAATGTGTCCCTGCAGCACAAAAGCAGTCTTAAGTCGCTGGGGTATATTTGTAGCAATAGCCAACAATACATTGTATGGGTCAAAATTATACATTTTTCTTTTATGCCAAAAATCATCAGGATATTAAGTAAAGATATTTTGTAAATTTCCTACCGTAAATATATCAAAACTTAATTTTTGATCAGTAATATGCATAGCTAAGAACTTCATTTGAACAACTTTAAAGATGATTTTCTCAATATTTAGATTTTTTTGCACCCTCAGATTCCAGATTTTCAAATAGTTGTATTTCAGCCAAATATTATCCTATCCTAACAAACCATACATCACTGGAAATTGATTCTTATTCATTCAGCTTTGGCGATGTATAAATTATGATGTATAAATCTCAATTTAAAAAAAATGAAACTTATGACTGGTTTTGTGAACCAGGGTCACATATATCCAGGTTTTCCAATACCGTATGAATCCTTATTGCTCCTGAAAGCTTATTTTAATGCTTGGTTTGCCTCATTTCAATTCATCCTGAGGCTGAACAGCCAGCTGGTCACGTGATCAGATCTGTAGCTGTGACACATCATGGACAACAGTGAAGGACCGCCTACTCACCTGTCAATCAAGCACTACAACACAGGAAAGCTCAGACATACATGCATCTCATTAACCATCAGATGACCATGCCATCAGATGACCATGTGACTGACCTTGGCCACTTTGCGTAGTTTAGCTCCAGCGAGCGCAGGAGGAGGTGCAGAGGCGGGGCCAGGAGCTGGAGGAGGACCAGGAGGCGGGGCCGGAGCGGCAGACACCTGTCTCTCTCTCTCCTGTCTCTCTCTCTCCTGCTGCTCCTGCCTGAGACACACAGTTTCACAGCTCTAATGTGACACATTTCACAGCAAAACAGGATGTTTCATGCAAAATATATGTGGGCGGGACTTGATTTTATTCATCCACTGATTGGATGGTGAATAAGAGGGACTGATGACATCAGCTGAAGAGGAGAGTCGTTTCCAAAAGTTTAGAATAATTATGATTTTGTAATTTTTTTGAAAGTAGTCTCCTCTGCTAACCAAGTCTGCATGTATTTATCAAAAATACAGTAAAAATAGTGAAATATTTTTTATGATATAAACAAAAGAAAATTCACATTTTCTATGTGAATATGTGTTAAAATATAATTTATTTCTGTGATCAAAGCTGAATTTTCAGCATTATTACTGCAGTCTTCAGTGTCACATGATCTTCAGAAATCATTCTAATATGCTGATTTGCTGCTCAAGAAATATTTCTGATTATTATCAATGTTGAAAACAGTCGTGCTGCACAATATTTTTGTGCAAACTGATACATTTAATTTTTTAGGATTCACAGATGAATAGAAAGTTCAAATGAAGGCAAACTCTGATTTGTGCAGGATAAATGAGGTAAATCAGGGCTGATTTCCATGTCATGATAAAGAAGATGATGATGATGTTTGTACCTCCTCTTCTGCTCTATCTCCTCAGCGCTCGGGCCGTTCGGAGGCGGTCGAGGAGGAGGAGGACACGCACCTGTGGACACAAACCATACAGGTGTTTTTACATGTTTTATGGCGAGATGCTACCAGCAAACCAGTGTGTTTTCATGCACTGGTCACTTTTTGGTCTATTTTGCTTCCATATCACGTCTCTTCTTTCAGACTAGAGGAAAGAAAACGTACTAAATACACATTTTACTGCATTTTATCTATTTGCGTCTGTAGATTTCAATTCCAATCCATATCTTTTCATATTTTTTCTCTTACACACACACAAGCCTTCATAGTTTTATTCCTCTCTGTATTCTGAAGGTTTGTTGATATGTCACTCACACTGATTTATAGCACATTTTACTCCTAAAAACACGTTTTTTTCCCTAAGAGCTCTCACCGGCGTCTCCGTTGAGCACGTCGAGCGCGTGCGTCATGCCGCTGGCGAACTGAGCCGCGTCCTCTTTACTGCTGAAGTTCAGACCCCAGACCTGCCGTGCATCGCGCCACTGGTGGAACGTAGGAGTGGCCTGGTTATATTTGATCCCCCGGATCAGAGGACAGTTAATGACCACCTGAAGAGACACACGGATGACAGACAGGAATCAGATCTTCATCAAACAGACACACTCACGGGAACCAGCGGCTCTGGCCATAAAACTAGCAGTGTGCGATCTCAAAGGGCTGGATGAATTGATGAATAAATAGATAAAAATGATATAACCTCAGAGAGACAAACAAATTAATGAATAAATAAATAAATAAAAAGATTATACTAAATATTCTCAGAGGGGGAAATTAATGAATGGATGAACAAACAAAAAAATAAATGAATAAAATTACAATCTCTGAGGAACAAGCAAACAAATATTGGATATTAACAGATGGACAATATATATATATATATACATCCATAATTAGAGGGACAAATGAATCAATGAATAAGTAAATAATAATAAATAAATAAATAAACAATATCTAACAAACAAACAAATAAATCAATCAATATTGGATATTCTCAGAAAGATAAATAAAGAAAATCAATAAAAACATATATTATGTTTCTTAGAGAGACAAATAACAAAATAAATAAATTTTCATAGAGGAATAAAGAAACAAACAAATAAATACTGTATATTCACAGAGGGACAGAAATGAATAAATAAATATTAGGACAAGTAAATAAAAAATACATATTGTTTTATGAAATTAATTTTTTTACATTTTAAAATTTATTAAGTTTTATTTTTTCCCCCACAATATCTCCCACCATTAGCAGGGATGTAGACTCCACTCATAATTATGTTTTCCTTTCTCACACTGAGGTCTGAATCTATTGAATGCAGCAGAATGATTGTCTGATGAACTGTCCAGTGTTTGTGGTGCTGTGCAGCAGACAGCAGTGAACCAACCATCACACTGACATGATTTACAGGAAACGAGAGACAATTCAGAAGCTGTGAGACTGAAGTGTCTCTGAGATAAACCACCGAGATCTGCGGCTGCTGTGACGGCACATAACACGCCACTTTCCCATGATGCCCAGCATGCACATTCACAGCAATGACAACATCCTTCACACACACA